ATCTATCTATATCCAGAAAGGGTGGAGTAAATTTTCTTTTCCTTTTTTAATTCTTTTTTTTCAGATTTTAAAGTTTACAAACAATTTACAAACAACAAACAAAGAAAGAGAATTCTGAAGAATCTCCTGGGCTTCCCTCCTCCCTTTTGTGGGTCCTTATATTAACCTTTCCTCCCTCATCTTGCCTATTAATCCAAATCTATTAAATCTCCATTATAACCAAAATTCAACATTAAACTATAAGTGGTACTCCAATCCTACTAATAATTTGAATTGCTTACAATGGTTTTAAGGTAAATTATATATTTTCCCCATTCCTTATTAATAATTTGGTCTTCCTGAATTCTGATTCTTCTGGTCATTTTTGCCATTTCAGCATAGTCCATCAACTTAATCTGCCATTCTTCTCTGGTAGGGTCTTCTTTCCATCTCTGGGCTAGTAACGTCTGGGCAGCAGTGGTCGCATACATGAATAGTCTTTTCTGATCCGTTGGAATTTCAGCACCTAGAATTCCTAAAAGAAAAGTTTCAAGTTTTTTAGAAAAAGTTATTTTAAACATTTTTTTCAGTTCATTATGTATCATTTCCCAGAATTATTTTACTACTTTGCATGTTACTTTACAAGGGTGAAGTAAATTTAACCCTTGTGGTCTTAGCAGAACTTTGAAAGAGCAGCATTCAGAGGAGCAATAAGCAAGTTTGTATTAGGCATAGGAACTTGTGACCATGGGTGCCTGCAATATTTTTCAAGTAGGGAGCAAGTTCTTCCAATTTTCAAATGATGCTCCTGTCCCAAGTACCATTCCATGCTGCCTTTAACTCCCTTCACCTTAATATTTTGCATCTGAGTGACCCATAAACATAAATCCCAAACATGGTGCATTACAAGTGATTTAATTTTTTCCCCTATTTTGCTATCATGGGGACTCTTATTTTAATTTTAATTTTTGCCCACCTGAGCCTTCCTGATAGGATATACATCATTAATTTAAAAATCAATAACCACAATCCAAGACAAATGTGACAAAGGCTGTTGATCTCGGTGGGCTTAAGCATGCTTAACTCTGCTTTGGACTGTGGCCACTGAAAAAATAACGGGTTGCGTCCAGACTAAGGGCCCCTCCAGACTGGTCTTTTATTGCAGGTGTATTCTGCAACATATTCTTAACACAATAATTGTGCATTAGTGATAGAGCTATTCTGCTTTAGCTAGTTCTGCAATGCTCCCCCAGTACTACCATATTACGATTAGTTAGGTTGTCTCTTTATGATGATATTTCAGTTGCACAGAATAAATGGATATGAAGTGCAATAAATACTAGGTGGGATTATATGGTAGACATAAGGATCTACAACTTATGTTAAAAGATCTACAATTTATGTTAAAAGGAGGTCCATGCTGCAGAAATATGTATAAATGAATAGAATCTATCTAACAGGCTTGGTCATTCATTTCTTTAATTCAAATTGTTTTTTACTCTATACCACTAGATAAGACTATTCAGACTTTCATAATCTCCGGAAGCATAGGGTCAATCACATCCAACCACAAGCATTTTATTAATTTGATTTTCTTATAGGTAATAAGATAAATTTACATTTATGTGACTAGTTTTTCTCCAGTCATTAGTTTTGGGTTTAGTCAATCAGCTAGCTACAAATCCACCTAACAGTTATGAGAAAGTTGCACTTCAAGTCACCACCTTGGTAGAATGTGGTCAAAGCAAGCAGCTGTGCAAAACTGAACTTTAGAAGGGAAAAGTCGAAACAATATTTTATGCATTATTTTGGATGCCTAAAGGGCTTTACAAATGTTATTCTTTTCCTTCACAATAAGCCCCATTTTACAGCTGCTACAAATTGGAATTGCTCAAGGTCACAGTATGGGCCCTTGACAGTGATGGGTTTGAACCCAAGTCAAAGTCCAACATCCTAACCCTATCCACTTCACTGTATCAGATCCAAAATAGCAGCTTGGGGTGTGTGTCTGCTATTGTTGTTCTTTTCCCCCCAGAAAGTTGGGAGATACCTATGTTTAATGAGTCTCAATTGGGTTTCTCCCATAGGGCCATGATGCCACTGTACAAGTTTCCTGATCTCCCAACTTTAATTGGAATTGCTTCTGTAAACTAAATGAGGGTACTAACATACCAGGATGACTGCAAAATAAAATGCATAGCACATTAGGTGCATATAGCCCTACATATTTCACAGGATATATATTTGCTCAGGTTGCTTTCAATTTAATGTCCATTTAGCTTCACCACATACAAGCCTGAGTGAGCATGTCATGGGAAGATGGCTGAGGAGAGATTGCAACCAGAGACTTCCAATTATTATTGAAGTTAAACTGAGGGAGGCTGGTTCTTCTGTAAAAGTTATGTGATCCATCTACATCATTTAGCACAGCAGCTGACCTGACTGATTGACTGAAATTTCCCCAGCAGAGACAAAAAGATAGGATCCATTTCCGGGATAAAAAATCAGCTCTTCCATGACTGGCAAAGCATGTAACTACAGAAACACAGCATCTGCCTTTGACCTGGGACTCACCATAATGAAGGAAAGGTGTAAGTAGAATAGGAAATGCTACCATGGACACTCAATATGGCATTGGAGAGGATCCTTTGGAAGGCAAAAGGGGCATTGCAGAATTAAGACTTTAATGAGCAAGGATTATGATATGGTGAGGGGAAAACATGACTGTAATGGGTATGAGTGTTGTGAAAATATGTTAAAAGAAGGAATAAAAATAAGGATGAACTATTAAAGCTAAAGAATGACCACAAATTTATTATGATCACAAAGTATAACGTTATCAGGGGCTACTAGTTGTGATTGCTATAATCTAGCTCCAGCGTCAGAGGCTTTTTTTTTAAGCTGGAACGCACCAGAACTCAGCCCTAGTACTTCTCAGGTGGGTGCCATTGCCACTATAAGAGAACAAAGGAGGCATTCATGGTGAGTTCCTGCACCTCTTTTTCTAGAAAAAATAGCACTGAGTTTGCCTCTGGATACCAGCTGCTAGGGTTCACAAGCGGGGAGAGCAATGTTGCACTCAGGTTCTGTTTGAGAGAACATAGTAGAAAAGGATGGTGGACTAGGTGAGCCTTTGGCCTTGGCCTGATTCACCAGGGCTAATCTATTGTTCTTATATTATTCAGAGTGCACTATTAATATATTGTACAAATCTGGAAAAATAATAATAACCAATGATTGAATTAAAGTGTGTTTTGAAATAGAAAGTATATCATTGCCCTCTGATTACCTGTGCCTGCAACTATCTATTTAAAAATAATAAAACCTTGAGGCATTACTCCATGAAGACTAACTCAATTAAGATCATCTGCATGAGTAATGCATACTTCCAAAAATTAAGAGTACTTTGAAAATTCTTAATTACTTATTGTTGGGAGTGTACACATTTAAAATGGTACATTTTTCACCCATCAATTTTTCCATCAAAATCAGATACTGACCTTGTTGATTGCACTGCAGTCTGTGACAAGGAGAATAGGGCCATCTACCTTTGGGAGCTGAGCTCAGAAATTCTATTGTAAGTAACGGCTGGTGTGCTGATATGTATAAGCAATGATCTGGTGAGAGTTGGAAGGAAGAGGGCTCTGTTAAAAAGGGGACATTTTGATTTCATCAAATCAGATAAAAGATCACAATAATGTTTCTGGAGAATGTCCCAACAGACCAACTTGGAAGCCATAATTGGAGTAGATGTAGTAAAATAAACCATTTGAAAACAACTGAAAAGCTTCCCATTTCCATCTAGCTCCTGAATGAATATTTCAAGATTTGGAAATCTTTCAGCTGTCTAGCAGCACATGTGTTTAGCAGTCTGACACCACAGACAGTCATTGCTACTGTTCTAAAAGCCAATGTGGTGTCATAGTTAGACAGACATAGTTAGTGTTGGACTGATCCTTGGATAGCAGGATTAAAATCTCCACTCACCCGGGAAGCTGACTGAGTGACCTTAAGCCACCCACAGTCTCTTAGCCTCACCTGTCTCATGTGGTTGTTGTGTGGATAAATGTATGCCACCTGGAGTTCCCTAGAGGAAAGGTGAGATATAATTGCAGTAATAATATAAAATATAATGAGTAAAAGGAAAATTAACTAAACTAGTATATTTTGCTGTGGACTTATCATCATTAAACTCTTTCCCCAAACTGCAACTCTTTCTTCATGCTATAAAGGAAAACTGAAATTAGGGAGTTTATAGCATTAGTTATATGCTTAGGAGTATAGGAAGGATGTGAGAAGTTGCCTTATTTTGAGTCAAAGTATCAGGAAGAGTGGAATAAATTTAATGATTATCTAGTTAAATTTGTTAAGTTAAATTAACTGAAAATAGCTTGCAGATACTTAATTGGCTTAGGATTTTATTTATGTTAAGTGATGAATTAATATGTTTAATTCCATAAGGTGAAGATTTAAGGATGTTAATGTTTAAGTTAAATTTCATAAGAATTGGGATTTGGAAAACTGTTAAAAGGACATGCAATGAAATTGAACCAAGGGGAAGCGAGGAAGTCACTTAACAAAGTTAATAAGTGTAATTTTCAGTAAGGCTATGATTTATGTTTGTTTGTCTTGTTTGTTTGTTTATAATATTGTGAAAACTAATAAAAAATATTTGAAGGGGGGGAAAATATTTTGAGTCAAACCACTAGTTCATCTAGCTCAGTGTTATATACATTTACTGTCAGTGGTTGTCCAGGATTTTTTGGTGGGAAGACCTCCCCAGCCCTACTTGGTGATGCCAGGGACTGAATCTAGGAGCTTTTGCATGGAAAACAGTTATTCCACTACTGAGCTTTGACTTTTCCTAGAAACCTAGGTCTTTACCTACATGAGCTCTTTCCAAAATGAACAAATTAGTCACTAAGGAAATAATATCACTGATTTTTCTAGAATGATTTTTCTTAATTTATTTTAATTATATACTAAATATTCCACTTTCAGAAGGAACATATGTTGGTAAGATGACCTTCAGAAACATCTCTAAAACCATTGTCACTGAGGTTGTCCTACTTGGCTTCTCTAATCTCCACCAGTTTCAAAAACCACTCTTCTTCCTCTTCCTTGTCATGTACATACTGACTTTGATTGGGAACACTTTAGTCATCATCATGATCCATGTGGACCACCGTTTGCATACACCAATGTACTATTTACTCAAGAACCTCTCCTGGTTGGAGATCATCATCACCACAACTGTCACTCCAAAGATGCTCACCCTACTTATCTCAAAGGAAAACACCATATCTTTTGTTGCCTGTGCCTTGCAAGGATATATCTACTTTGTTGCTGGTTCCACTGAAGTCCTCCTTTTGGCTGCTATGTCAGTGGATCGCTATGTGGCTATCTGCAACCCTCTGCGGTATACTGCTATCATGAACTCCCGTGTCTGCATGCTAATGGTCCTGTCTTGTTGGTTGTGCAGCTTCTTTTCCATCTCTGCCTCCATGGTACTGAAGGCAGGACTGCCTTTCTGTGGCTCCAATGTTATTGACCACTTTTTCTGTGACAGTGGCCCTCTTTTGGAAATGATCTGTGCTGATGTTCGCTTTCTCCAGGCCTTAGATTTGGCAGTTTCCTGCTTCATGCTTCTCAGCTCTGTATCTGTAACAACAATCTCTTATATCTGCATCATTGTCACTGTGATTAGGATACCCTCTGCTAAAGGCAGAAAGAAAGCCTTTAGCACATGCACTTCGCATATCACTGTGGCATCACTTTATTATGGCAGCTCCATCTTCATCTATATCAAGCCAGCTGGCAGCTCTTCAATGGAATTCAACAAAATAGCCACAGTATTCAACACAGTAGTGACCCCATTGCTAAACCCTATTATTTACAGCTTCAGGAACAAGACCGTGAAGGAAACACTGAGAGATGCATTGAGAAGACTGCAGGCCATTTTGCAAAAGTGAGGCCTGAGATTGTTGAAGCACACTTGGAGAGATGGAATCTTGATTCATTTTTCCGAATTGCCCCTATATAGAAGAAGAAGAAGAAGAAGAAGAAGAAGAAGAAGAAGAAGAAGAAGAGGAGGAGGAGGAGGAGGAGGAGGAGTTTGGATTTGATATCCCACTTTATCACTACCCTAAGGAGTCTCAAAGTGGCTAATAATCTCCTTTCCCTTCCTCCTCCACAACAAACACTCTGTGAGGTGAGTGAGGCTGAGAAACTTCAGAGAAGTGTGACTGGCCCAAGGTCACCCAGCAGCTGCATGAGAAGGAGCGGGGAAATCAAACCTGATTCACCAGATTACGAGTCCACCACTCTTAACCACTACACCACACTGGCTCCTACATGGGGAGAAGGAGCGAGAGAGAAGGCAGAGCTGTTGTGCTTGTCCCCCACTTCCAAACAAAGTATGCAACAGACGGGAGAGGACATATAATGGGTATGGGAATGAACAAAGGTTGAGTGGAAATAAGGAGGTCATTAATTAAACTAGTTTTCCTCATTATATTTCAGAAAGCAAAACCTGTGTGACATTGTGTGGGAATCCTGAATTCTTGCCTAATATCACATTGAGGTTCTATATCTAAGCTTTATGCAAGGAGCATATGTGAATCAATCCCTGACAGTCCCTTTACACATAAAAGGAATATGCCTAATTACAAATGTGTCAGGAAAAAGCAAATCTGTCCGTTTTTAGAGGTTTGTAGACCCTTATGTGTTCTGCAAAAGGTCGAGGAATGACCCGTCAGGAAAGACATTAAGCAAGTTGCAGTCAAAAACTTCTGCCACCACCACAGAGGAAGAAGAGACATTGGAGGAGGATGTGCCTGGTGCCTATCGTTGGGGCCATGCCCTCTGCAGCAGCCCCTGAGGACTCTGGGGCAGCTTGTGCCTGAGTTTCCTACCTGCTCACTGCCTGCTTAGTGCCTGTAGTCCATGTGCAACTTATAGGGTGCATTCAATAAACTATCTTTAGGATTTCTCTGTGTGTGCTGTGCATTCTTGTGGAGTGGGATTGCAATGCTGGATAAGGTGGGTGTTTGAGGTCTGTGCAGTGCGTGCAATGTGGGTGCAACATGGGTGTTCTGGTGTGCTCCTATGTGCTTGCTTACCTGGCCACACTGTCCCATGCTGTTGGTGCACATACCTGTGTGATAAGAAGATGTGCTGATGTGTGGCACACACATTGTGCTGATTGCCTGCCCCAATGAGCACTGCTAGAGACTCTGTGTGCACTCTGTGCCCAGTTTGTTTGTATTCCTGTGCTGGCAATTATGAGCCATTTTGGGTGAGCTATCTGTACAGTTCATACACACCTGATCAAGGGATTTGGAAACTCTCCTTGTGTGTCACAAGTGCACCCCATTCCCTAGTAGGTAATGCCAGGTGAGCTAGCTCTCTGTGTTGTGGTGCTTTCCTTTTAGCTCGACTAGGCTAGTGCTGGACATTTACAGGGTGTGAATTTATACAGGCTTAAGTTCCACCAACCTGCTGCATTCAAGAATGCTCAGTACGTCTCATGTGTCACATATGTGACAAATAATAATGTATGGAATGAATAACAAACAACATTCACTGAGAAATATGCACTATCACACTGCACAAAACAAAACAAATTGAAGCAAGCGCTCATCCATACATCTGCTTGTCTCCTGCCCATAAGTGCAGGTCAGAGTGGATTTCCACTTGTCCCATGCTTTCGAGGTACAGGTCCAAGCAATTTTGCCATGGCGTGTTGTTTTCCCCCAGAAAACCCTTTCTTTAACAATAGACAAGAACAAAAACAAGAACGAACAGCCATCTGCAGAATGCACAGTTTCTGTTTGTTCCAATTCAGCTCTAAAGATTGGATTTTCCTGGGAGAATGTGGCAGGACAAACAGAGGTGTGGCTGAGACCTGAAAGTATGTGCCTGTGTTGACGAAGGAAAGTAAAATATTCTGAACAAACAAAATCTTTATTTATTTCTTATGTTTGTATTCTAACTTTCCACCAAATGTAAATTAAGTAGATGTCATCAATAAAGCAAATACAATAAAACATAATAAAAGATGGCAGAACAGTAATAAAATACAAAGCAAAATAAAGCCATAAAACAAGTTAGTTGAAACATTAATAAGCATCTAATTAAGATGTTTTAAGATGCCAAGAAGGTCATCAGAGATTAAAATAGCTAGGCCTCCCTGGGCGAGGAATGCCTAAACTATTGTAAACTAAACTATTGTAAAAAGGTAGCAAAGTTTATTGTTACAGAAGACTATTATTACAGGAAAAAGCTATGTAAGGTGAGCTCAGTGCTTTTTTTAAAAAAGCTGTATTGCAAGAAGAGATGAAATGAAAACAGGCTTATAGGTGAACGGGAGGCATCTTTTTATTATTCCTACCAAAAATAAAACCCAGCAATTTCCACAAGGCAGTTTTGACATCTTTGTTTCTCATACTGTAGATTATTGGGTTCATCAGTGGAGGCACCACAGTATATAACACAGCAAGCACTTCATCCAGATGGTATGGAGAATTAGAGGTTGGCATTAAGTAGGTGAAGACAGAAGTGATGAATAATATGGAGACAACTGTGATGTGGGGAATGCAAGTGGAGAAGGCTTTCTGCCTGTTTGCCATGGAGGGCATTCTCAACACTGCAGTAAAGATCTGAACATAGGACATGACAATGAACACAAAGCAACCAAGACTTAACACAGCAGTAAATAGAAGAGCCCAAATTTCATTGAGGTATGAATCAGAGCAGGAGATTTCCACCAGGCGTGGGATTTCACAGAAGAACTGGTGGATGACATTGGAGCAGAAAGGAAGTGAAAAGACAGTACCAGTGTGCAAAGCAGCATTGAACAAACCAAACATCCATGCTCCACCTGCCATTTGAATGCAGCTACTCCATTTCATCATAGATGCATAGTGCAAAGGGTGACAGATGGCTACATATCGGTCATAGGCCATGGCAGTGAGGAGGAAGAAGTCTGATGATGCAAAAAGGATGAAGAGAAACGTTTGAGTAACGCACTGTGAATATGAAATCAGTCTTATGTTCATGAGAGAATTTGCCATGGATTTGGGAATGATGACGGAGATTGAGCCAACATCAAGGATTGATAAATTGACAAGAAAAAAATACATTGGGGTGTGCAGATGACTGTTGACAGCAACCAGGGTAATGATCAGAAGATTTCCCACCAGGGCAGTCAGGTACATTGCAAAGAAGATCACAAAGTGTAAAATCTGCAGATCTCGACCCCCAGAAAATCCTAGAAGTACGAAATTTTCAATCATTGTTATGTTGAGAATGGCATGAATCATATTTTGACTGTTGGAAGAAGAGAAACAGTATTGATTAATTCATTTGCACATAGAAGAAGGTGTCTTTATTATAAGTTCTGAAATATCTCCCTGTAATTTGCTACTTACCCCACCCCACCCCCATTTCCTAGTTGTAGTTTGTTTTTGTTCGTTTGTTTGTATTTTGCACCAGCAAAAAGGCACTTCCAACGAACAGCACCCTCAGATTCTAGTGATTCCTTCAAACAGCTGTAGCACGCTTGTTCCCCATCCCACCCAATGTCATTTCTTAATTGTCCTTCATCCTGAGATGTCAGGAGTTTGCCATGGGGAGAAGAAGCCCCACTATGCAACCAGTGTTTCATTCCCAATTCTCTGGGTCAATACTCTTTAAGGCAAAACTCACAGTCTAGATTTGTGTAATTCTAACTCTGTGTTCTTGTGCTTAGAAAATAGCTCCATGTCTGAGGCTAAGCAGGTTTGGTCATGAATGTTATCATGATGGAAGAGTGTCAAGGAACCATAACCACTCTGAGATCTTTGGGGGGGGGAATCTGGGGCATACAGGTCAGAAATAAAATTATAATGCCTTGGATCCTATGATAACTTTATTTTGCCAGAGGAATTTTCCCATCCCTACCTCTCCCTAGCAGCCATTGATTTGTTACAAGCCTCCTCCCCAAACTTCCAGAGAGGCATTTCAGGGGTTGCAAGTGTATATTTTGGGGAGGATAGAAGGATAGATGCTGCTTCTCTGAACTTCAATTTATTTATCCATCTCAGAAGAAATAGATCAAAAATAAGAGAAGGTGCATGATTAAGACACTATTCTAGTGGGATAGAGCAGGATTGGGGATACTGAACATACAAATGAGGGGATAATAACCTAGAAAAAGAAAACAACAACAACATAATAACAGCATAATAGCAATGATATTTAAAAAAATAAAGATGGAAAAAAGCAAAAAAATTGGAATAGAATTAAGTGGAAGGAATTAAAGGAATATCAAGAAAGGAGATCTGAGGACACAAGATTGAAGGACACAGATGGGTACTATATTTTTCTATATATTTCTTTGGCAATTCTGCTTCAAATGATTTATCAGCAAAATGGTTTCTATTTACCTTCAGTCTAGGTGTCTCTCCCTTTTTCTGACACCTCTTAATCTTTCACTCAGTAAAGTGTGAACAAATCAGGTGTATATTTTCCATTTTTCCCTCAGATTTGCCATAATTCTTTCACATCCCATGCAATTGCAAGCAATTCCTCTCTTTTTCTTCTATCAGATCACAGCAACTCATCTTGGGTTGACAGGTGTGTCTTGGAGAAAGAACTTGTTTCAAACAGCAGTAAAAGAGGCAGGCTTATGTGATAGGAGACATATCTACCTGAATCATTTTGTTCTCTAAAGATTTACTCCCTGTTTACTGGAATAGCTCAGCATTAATGGCACAGAGTGGCTACAATGCTGACTTTTCTGACTACAACAGCCTACTTTCAAAGTTTGCAATCTAAGGCTATGTTGCATTGCATTTTCCAGTTGTCAATATTCAGTGAGACCCAGAGAGCTCCTCTTTTGAATTTCCAAACATCCCCACATGGAATAGGGAGGCAATGTTTAAGTCATCCACCCAAGGGAACAAATGTAATAGCTGAATTGTAGCAGAGGCTGAGACAATGCCAGCTCTTTAGCATCATTCTAAGGAATGGAACATTTTCCTTCATCATTAGGTAAATTGTTGTACACCCACAAATAATCAAAGATACTAGGGAACACCAAGAAAAATTCTGATAACCATTTAGTTTAAGGTTAGCAGATGTCCCCGTTTCCCGGGGACAGTCCCCGGATTTACAAATCAGTCCCCTGACAAAAGCCTATCATTCCTACTGAAGTTGAAAAGTGTCCCCAGATTCATTGAAAAAAATCTGGTAACCTTAATTTAGTTGCAATGCAGACACACATGCATTAAAGTAACTTGGGGTAATAGCATCAGAAATATCCTTCCCCTCAAGAGAATATAAGAGCAAAAGAAGATTTTATGGGGATGCAACCAGAAGTCTATTTAGGCCAGCATCCTATTTTCCAAAGCAGACAACCAGATGTTTTTGGAAACCCATAAGCAGAACCCATTCATGCAACTGGTACTTGAAAGTATCTGAACTTGCAACTTGTGATGGACATCATTACTAGTAGCTATTGAGAGATCATTTATTCTCTGAATTGCCTAATCATTTATAAAACTGTGTTAAATTCACCACATCTCATGGCAACAAAATTATGTTTAGATATAGTAGTAAGGAGGGTTACATCACGAAACACAGCCCTCTATGAATGAAAGGTTTATATTCCAGAGAAGTGCAGCAGCAGATATGCTGGGTAGATGCACTGGATAGAGCAAGCTTGCTTCAGAAGGCTGAAAAGTGGGGTGCCTAGCAAGCAAAAAAACATGAGAAGATAAGGAATAAGAAGGGACAGCTTCTTCATCCAGAAAGACTAAAAGGGGGTGTGAGTAAGCCCTGTTATAATCAGTTGGTCTGCTCTGAGGTAAATGAGGTTATGATTGCAGGCATAGTCATGTATAGAGTAGATACCATATTTTTCCGTGTATTGCACGATGCTTTTTTGACACAAAAATCATGTCAAAAAACGGGGGTTGTCTACATATGGAGGTAGATAAAACATGTATAAGTCATAATGCTTTCCAGGACACAAAATACAGAAAGAATGATCTCTCTCAGGTTTCTGTTTGCAAAATGGCAATATAATTTATTACTGCAGAAAACTGTTGTTACAGAGATAAGCTTCTATATTAATAATATTGTATCATTATTATTATTATTATTATTATTAATCTGCATTACAAGATAAGATCAAAGAGGAACAGGATTAAAGGCAAATGGGAGGCATCTTTTTAGTTTTCTTACCAAAATTAAAACTCAGCAACTTCCACAAGGCAGTTTTGACATCTTTGTTTCTCATACTGTAGATTATTGGGTTCATCAGTGGAGGCACCACAGTATATAACACAGCAAGCACTTCATCCAGATGGTATGGAGAATTAGAGGTAGGCATTAAGTAGGTGAAGACAGAAGTGAATAATAATATGCAGACAACTGTGATGTGGGGAATGCAAGTGGAGAAGGCTTTCTGCCTGTTTGCCATGGAGGGCATTCTAAACACTGCAGTAAAGATCTGCACATAGGACATGACAATGAACACAAAGCAACCAAGACAAATTGATGTACTAAAAAGAAGGGCCCATATTTCACTGAGGTATGAATCAGAGCAGGAGATCTTAAGTAGGCGTGGTATCTCACAGAAGAACTGGTGGATAACATTGGAGCAGAAGGGCATTGAAAAAACAGTACCAGTGTGCAAAGCAGCATTGAGCAAACCACACATTAATGTTCCACCTGCCATCTGGATGCAACTACTCCATTTCATCATGGATGCATAGTGCAAAGGGTGGCAGATGGCCACATATCGGTCATAGGCCATGACAGTGAGGAGGAGGAGGTCTGATGACACAAAAAACACGAAGAAAAACACTTGTGCGACACATTGTGAATATGAAATCAGCCTTATGTTCATGATGGAATTAGCCAGAGATTTGGGAATGATGGTAGAGGTTGATCCAAGGTCCAGAATTGATAAGTTGAGAAGAAAGAAATACATTGGTGTGTGCAGGTGCCTGTTGACAGCTATCAGGATAATGATCAGAATATTTCCCAACAGGATAGCCAGGTACATTGCTAAGAAGATCAAAGATTGCAAAATTTGCCATTCTCGGTCCCCCAAAAATCCCAGAAGTAGAAAATTTTCAATGACAGTTATGTTGGGCACAGCCTCCATCATATTTTGACTGTTGGAGAGCAGAAAAAATTATCAATTCATTGCACATAAAAGAATCTATATTCTTGATTTTTTTCCACCAATTTCAGAATTCTATAAATTTCATGTAGGATTTCTTTCTATTTCTTTTTTGTTAAATATATGATACCACCATTTTAGCTTTCCCATTGAATTGTTTTCCTTCCTTGGCTTGGAGCCATACACATGTTACAGCAGCAAAAACAAAACAAACAAAAACATTCCACTTAACCACACCCTCAAATTCTAGTGATTTCCACCACCTGCTGCACTCGCCTTATGCCAGGCTTCCGCAACCTCAGCCCTCCAGATGTTTTGAGACTACAATTGCCATCATCCCTGACCACTGGTCCTGCTAGCTAGGGATCATGGGAGTTGTAAGCCAAAAACATCTTCACGGCTGAGGTTGAGGTAGCCTGCCTTATGCCAATGAAGAAAGACGCACCTAGCATTCTCCTGTGTCTCAGTCTCTTTGTTATTTGAACCCAATTTGATTTCTTTTGACATTATATTTTGGATCCCCTTTGAAGACAGCCCTGATCCGTATAACAATTCTGTTCTGTGTTAATGTCGTAGTTGTTTATTTATACTATCTTCCATTTTATACTCTTCTCTCTGTCATGGAAAACTAATGCAATTGTATGGGTGGGGGGGAGAGAGAATAAAACTATAATGTTGTCAGGAAAGAAGTGGAAATAACAGAGTATACATCATTAAGCCACAGTTTTTGTGGGATAGAGAATACTGGGAAAGCAGATTGTATACCTGAAGGAATAATAAGTTAGAAAAAGAAAGTAATAACTAATAGATAATAACAATAGCAATATTTTAACAGGGGGAAGAATGAATGAATGGAATTAAGCTGAGTGATTTAAATGGTGTCAATGAAGGAGAAATGGGGGGGTTGAAGAAAAAATCTCCAAAAAAAATAGAGGTCAAAGATATAAGACTTACTGTACTTTATTTTCTCATAGGTTTTATCAAGTTGATATTTGCAATTATGCTCTAGATCCTTTATTAGCAAAATTGCTTCTATTTACCTTGATTCTAGATGTCTCTATTCTTTTGTTCCCCCTCAATGAAGTACAAGCAAGTCAATTATATATCTTCCCTTCCTTTTTTATTTCCTCAGATTTATATTTCTTTCACATTTCATGCAATTGTGGGAGATTCCTCTCACTCTCTCCTCTGTCAGGTTCAAAATCTCCTCAGGCTACACAGGAGGAAAGGCTTATTTCAAACAGCAGCAAAAGGGACAGACTTATGTGGTGGTGGAAATATAAATCTGACTCATATTGGTCTCTAAAGCTTAACTCCCACTTTCCCTGAATAGCACAGCACTAATGGCCCAGTGCCAGTGTCAATTAAATGTTCTATTCCCGGTAATGATTCTTAAGAGTTCTCACTGCATCAGCCTCTGCAACCATTTCACTATTGCATTCATTCTCTTGGGTCGATGACTTAAACATTACCTTCCTGTTGCATATGAGAATGATTAGAAACAGAAGAGGAAGGTCTCTCTGGGTCTCATTGAGTATACAGCAGAAGAAAGTTAGACAATTGGGATACCTGTTTGCAGCTCGGAGGGCGGTCAATTGTAGACTGAAAAGCGAATTTCCCTTCAACATTAGGGAAGTAAATATACAGCCATGAAACATCAAACATCGTAGGCAGGATCCAGCAAGGTACTCATACCCTTATAGCTGCAATGTGCACACACTCATGACAGTTATTCAGGAGTGCAATGAAGGCTCCAACACCATTTTCTACTGTGGCCATCATCAATTCCCCCCCCCCCACTTTCCCCCCAGTGTTTTCTGCTTTATTAAATTTAGTTGATAACATAACATATATGTAGTATTTCAGAAGTTACAAATAGAAGTCAGTTCATTCCTATACGATACAAATCACCATACCTTCTTGCTTGACTACATAAGACTGCTCATCACCTCCCAATGTATTTACAAATTCTACTTATTCAGTTATACAAATAATTATTACTTTGTTCTATTTATGTAATCCTATAATTTCTTACACCTTTTACAACCATTTGCTTTTTTGTTGTTGTTGATAAACACAGAAACCATTGAAATGCTACCATAGATGCCACACCACTGTTGTATTTCTTTAAATATTTCTTGAACATGTCCCATTTTTGAATAAAGCTTTGATTTGTATTGCCTCTCAGCCTGTTAGTCATATGTGACATTATGGCAAATTCTAGTAATTTATTCTGTCAATCAATTTTTGTAACCATCATCAATTTCACCATAGCTTTCCTAGTTGACTTCATCATCTTCAGTACGCTGATGTTTTTCAGTGTCTGGGTCTCTTTTATACCAGTGTACCTAGGTGCCAAGGAAACATATTTCCTGTTGTGGATATGTTTGTCATCTTTGCTTCTTGTACTGGGCTATTGTCAAAGGCTTTAAAGTTCCTTCAGTCCATTCCTAAATGTATCTTAAAGAGTTATGGGTAGTGCAGTGAAGCTGTAGGTGGTATGTTGAAGGCGTAGTGCTCTCCTAACATTCCAGTGAAGGAGAATCTCATAATTTCAGGTATTTCTGCCCTTGTCAACCTCATCATCTCCTCACCTTTCCTCCGCTCCTTCCTGGTAAACAGCAGGAACTCAGTTGCTGGGAGGTCAGCTGAGAGCTATGTCCCACCACACTTTCCACAAATGGTGTAGTGGGTATACAGTTCACTGGTGACAGCTAGATGTCAGACAGAGCTATCTAGCATAGGGATGTGGATATAATATTGGGTTTAGGAACATTGAATGCGGTACATTCTATTCAGGGATACAAATTTCAAATCAACGGCATAATTGTAGAACAAATGTTACTTTACAAAGGTCATCTCCCAAGACTGGTGGTTTATTAAGTGTGTATTCTGCAAATATATTGACGCAATAATAGTGCAGAAGTGGTAATTTGTTCAGTTTTCATTTGCTCTGCAATGCTTTTCCAATGCTGCCACATTATTGTTGTCCAGAGGGGTCACAGTAAAACAAAAATAAACCAGAAAATGTGTGATATGAAAAATTATGGCGTTTCAGCAGAAGCACTGACAAGAAATGAAGCAGCATAATCACTCCAAAGCATTTTCAGCTACAAACATGTGTGAATGAGAAATCACACATGATCCTCTCAATAGCAACGTGAGCAGATATGATCAGGAATGTGCAATAAAAAGGATATTAGGTGGGGGGGCAAGCAAGGATACTACATTACGTGACAAAATAGTCTAAGCTCATCAGGGAAACAAACAAATTTCAGCCTATAGATATGTTACTTCTCACTTTTAAGGCTTTCTTGTAAACCGGGGTGGGGGGTGTCCCAGACCACTTGCACATTCCTTTAAGCACCTGGACAGCTAATGAAATGAAGAATGCATATGGATAAAGAAGCTCTCTGTTTTCATATAGAGTCCAGCATACACTTTCAACATCACGTTCAATTTTCTTCACTACAGAAGGAAAGTAAATACTATATAGTATTTATTTGTTATTTACTTATTATATAAGTTTCTCATTCCATTCACTTCTTTAGACTATGGAAGGGAAAGATATACATACATAGGAAGCACAATGTATTTTTGCATAACAAAACAAATGTTACAAGACAATAATCTTAAGCTGCATCACAAGACAAGTTGGAAGAAGAAAACTCATAGGAGAATCAGAGCCATATTTTTATTCTTTTTAGCAAGAATAAAACCCAACAAATTCCACAAGGCAGTTTTGACATCTTTGTTCCTCATACTGTAAATTATTGGGTTCAGCAGTGGAGGAACCACAGTATACAACAAAGCAAGCACTTGATCTAAATTATATTCTGAGTCAGAGGTTGGAATAAGATGGGTAAAAATGGCAGTACTGACTAATATGGAGATAACAGTGATGTGGGGAATGCAAGTGGAGAAGGCTTTCTGCCTGTTTGCCATGGAGGGCATTCTCAACACTGCAGTAAATATCTGAACATAGGACATGATAATGAACACAAAGCAGCCAAGACCTATTGTGAAACTCAAAAGAAGAGCCCAAATCTCAGTGAGGTATGAATCAGAACAGGAGATCTTCAGTAGGTGTGGAATTTCACAGAAGAACTGGTGGATGACATTGGAGCAGAAAGGAAGTGAAAAAACAGTACCAGTGTTCAAAGCAGCATAAAGGAAGCCTGCCATCCAGGCTCCACTTGCCATCCAGATACAGCTACTCCATGTCATCATGGATGCATAGTGTAAAGGGTGGCAAATGGCTACGTATCGGTCATATGCCATGACAGTGAGGAAGAAGAAGTCCGATGACAGGAAATGGATGAACAAAAACAGTTGTGTGACACACTGTGAATATGAAATCAGCTTTATGTTCATGAGGGAATTGGCCATTGATTTTGGAATAATGACAGTGGTTGACGCAACATCAAGCACTGATAGGTTGACAAGAAAGAAATACATGGGGGTGTGCAGGTGACTGTTGATGGCTATGAGGATAATGATAAGAAGATTTCCCATCAGAATAGCCAGGTATATTGCTAAGAAGATCACAAAGTGCAAAAATTGCCATTCTTGGTCCCCCGAAAATCCCATGAGTAGAAAATTGTCAATGATTGTTATGTTGGACATGTCATCTATAAGATTTTGGCTGCTGAAAGAAGAGCAGAAAAATAATGATCCCGTGCACATAAAACAATATGTGTTCATTCTAAAGTCTTATCCCCCCCATTAATTTTAGAATTATATTTACTGCCATGTATGATGCTTTTTATTACTTTATTGTTAAATGAATGACCTCATAATTTCAGTTTTCCCAATATAGTATTTTACTGGACCCAAACAAATTTTGTGCCAACAGAAAGGCATTTCCACTAATAAGTCCCCAACCACCTGCAGCCTACTTGAGTCTCTTCAAATAGCATTTCTAAGGGTCCTTCAGTACAGAGAGTGTGGTGTTAGCAGTGTGGAAAAAGGCATAGGAAAGCCCTATTGCACAGACACAGATCTCCTCGCACCTCAGAAAGCTGAACTGGTTTCGCTAGGAACACTACCTGGATGGAAGAGTGTCATTGAACCATGTGTTGCCCACCCAGAGTTCTTTCACAAAGGCAAAAGTGTCATGAATAAATAAAATTACAAAGATGTGGGACCCATGTTGTTAGGAGCCCCTTCTACAAAATGGCACAGAGGCTTCTCAGGGGTCACAGACAGATGCAAGGATAGCCATATAATTCTTATGAAAACATATTAATTTTATCAATCTTGAGGATCCAAGTCAATATGATTCTTGTGAGTTTACTTTACCATATGGTCCTATGCTGCAGGTGATTCCTTAACCTCCTGACTCACAAGCCATTATCTCCGTCCCCCATCTTGCCTCATCTGCCTAACAGGGGATATACAGTGGTACCTCAGGTTAGGGAAACTTCAGGTTACAGACGCTTCAGGTTACAGACTCCACTAACCCAGAAATAGTACCTCGGGTTAAGAATTTTGCTTCAGGATGAGAACAGAAATTGTGCGGCTGCAGCAGCGGGAGGCCCCATTAGCTAAAGTGGTACCTCAGGTTAAGAACAGTTTCAGGTTAAGAACAGACCTCCAGAACGAATTAAGTACTTAACCCCAGGTACCACTGTATCACATTTGGAAATAAATAGTAGAAATTCCATACTATGTACAGGGTTTAAAACAAAAGTAGTAGAAGTCGTGTGGTGTGTATGGGGTGTTTGGAGAGGAAGAATGTGTCTGGTGGGGGACACGTCATGCTCCTTTCTGGGGTAGTTTATCCTCCTTTGGTCCCCACCATGCACTCAGCTCTCACCTGTGGCTTCTTGATGCTGTCTCATCACATTTCATGCCAGTATGAGAGATCCATCGCAATCTCTTCTCTGTTGGATTCACAGCTCCTTTTGCTTCACAGGTGCATGTTAGAGGAAAAGCTTCTTTTAAAAGCACTAAGAGGGGAGACTTATGTGATGGTGGAAGTATGTTGCTGACTTCTGTTGGTCGCTAAAGATTACCTCCTTCTTCCCCCGAATTGCACAGCACTAACAGCCCAGAGCCACTGCCAAAATAGGTCACTTTTCTAAGAGCAATAGACCACCTTCAAAGTTTTCAGTCTTAGGCTATCTCTCATCATGAATTGCTGCTGTCTACCTTTCTCAGGCTATCTTTCTCATGCTGCACGCACAGTGAGACCCAGGCAAGGATTCCTCTTCTGTTTCTTATCATACCCATATGGAATTGGGGCGGGAGAACTGCAATGCTTAAGTAACTAAGGGAATTAATGCAACAGTGACATGGTTGCAGAGGCTGATGCAATGGCAGCTCTTCAGCATCCTTGCTAGGCATTGGGGAAATCCCTTCATCATTAGGGAAGCAATCATAGGCCTGCAAAACACCACCGTTGTAGGCAGGATCCCTCAAATTGCAGATAACCATAGAATTGCAACATGCATACACTACATGTCCAGCATATGGAAGAGTACCGCTTAAAAGCAGTTTCCACCCATCCTACAGTATGTATCTCCCCACAGAGATATATGCCACAATAAATTTCTGAATGTTAAAAGTGCCAAGAGATTTTTGTAGGTGTGTGGGTGGATGAGATGTTCTTTGACAATGAAAATTATACACCATTATACGGGTGTGGGACTTGATATTAATGGGGGAAAATCACTCACAAGGATGAAAACCCAGGAAAGAACACAAAATCAGAAAAGTTTTGTAAAACATGTTTCAGCTTTATTTCCAATTCAACTTCAAAAAACATGGCTATAGTCCACCAGTCATGATAACATTTTGGAAGGTATTTGTATTTGAAAGAGAAATATTCATATATATTTTTAATTAGAGATTTCTTGGTTTACAAAGGTATGTGCAATGTCTCTTTTTCAAGTTACATTTTCTACAGATCAGTTTCATTTGTTGAGACATTAGTGTTATTTAAAAAGCACTGGGACTGTGCTCAGTGGGAGGCTCTTTTTTTCTTTCTTGTGTTTATTATGTAAATGATAGATGAACCCCTTTAAAAAGTCAATAAAATACTCACACTAACTCTGTTTTGGTTCAGCTTTAGGCACTGCACATGTCTGTCAATGTTCTTTCCTTCAGCAGAGCATTGTGATCGTTTTTTTAAGATATAGGGGCACATCTTAACCTCACACAGGTACACTGTAATCCTTGGTTCTAGATTCAGGTAGGCAGCCGTGTTGGTCTGACACAGTAGAAATATATATTTTTTAAAAATTAAAAATTGTCCAGTAGCACCTTAGAGACCAACTAAGTTTGTTCTTGGTATGAGCTTTCATGTGCAGGCACATTTCTACAGAAGTGCAATCCTGTTGCAGATACAGCCAAAGGCAGCTCTGAAACCCCCAAAACAGGCAACTAGCCATATGTAGTGTCATGCTATGTCATTCCCAACCATTGTCTAAGACCCAGGATAAAATGAAGGTTCCTCACATCCCTGGCTGGTGGGCAGAGTTCAGTTTCATAGGCCACAAATTGTGTGCAGAGCAGGTCTGATATAAGAAAGTCATGAAGCTAGATTTCTAGCACACCAGAAGACAGAAGAGGATATAGCTGGTTTAAAAACTACATTTTGACTATATAAAGGTACTATGTTGTACTCAATATATAAGGCATAAACCACACTAATAAAGATAAAACGAGGCCCAAGTAAACAATGTTAGAAAATAGAAATAGAAATCTGAAGGTCGAACACCAGTTGAAAAAAATCTGTTCCAATGGCACAGTCTTTTTCAATTCTGTCAAACAGGAGACTGCATGCCAATAAGAACCACTATATGTATATATGTATGAATGAGGCACTGAGGTGGTACATTAGAAAAATACGCTTTGGACAACATGCAGGTGAAATGTGGATGCAAGCAGGGGATGGTCACTACCATTACACTTAAATGTTGTCACATAGGGTTGCCACACTTACTATAGTAGGTGGAATGTGCCAGAAGCAGGGTGCCTTGTATGGATGTCAAAGGCAGAAATTCATCATCTACATCTGTAGCAAGGGATTGGGAAAGTGGCTAACCTGTAGAATTCTTGCCTGGAGATTCTCTACAATTGTGATTGTGGGAGGGAAGCAAAGTGCCTTAAACAGATGTGTTCAGGCAGGAATTCATCATGGCTACATGAAGCATGTGGCTGAGGAAGCTGCTGCACCTGTGGATTTTTTTCTGGATACATGTCTCCTCCCCCATCCCAAAAGCCAGGACAAAGCATCGATGCATGGTACCAAGTTTGTAAGCAAGCATAATAGGCAACCCTTGAGAAAGTGTTCCCTGTTTAAGGGGTGTGAACAATAAAGTGCCTTAACCACCCATTTCCTTGATATTTTAAGCAGGTATAGAAAGGACATACACCTCAGTGGTAGTGGTGGCATGTGGTGGCAGTGGTAGTTTTTAAACTACGGAACTGATTTATTGTTTGGAAGTGTCTGGTAAAACAGCTTCCACAGGGCTGTTTTGACATCCTTATTCCTCATGCTGTAAATCAACGGATTCATCATTGGAGGAATCACTGAATATATCACAGCAAGCACTTCATCCAGATTATATGAAGGGCTGGAGGTTGGCATGACATAGGAGAAGATACCTGTACTAAGTAAGAGAGAGACAACTGTGAGGTGGGGAATGCAAGTAGAGAAGGCTTTCTGCCTGCTTGCCTTGGAGGACATTCTCAGCACTGCAGTAAAGATCTGCACGTAGGATGTGACAATGAGCACAAAGCAGCCAAGACCTAAGGCTGAACTAAAGAGAAGGGCCCACATTTCACTGAAGTATGGATCAGAGCAGGATATCTTCATCAGGTGTGGGATTTCACAGAAGAACTGAGTGATGATGTTGGAGCAGAAGGGCAGTGAAAAAATGGTACCTGTGTGCAGAGCAGCATTAAGGAAGCCTGCTGCCCATGCCCCACCTGCCAGCTGAATACACCTTCCCCACTTCATCACAGAGCTATAGTGCAGTGGGTGACAGATGGCCACATACCGGTCATAGGCCATGACAGCGAGGAGGAAAATGTCTGATGACATGAAGAAGAGGAACAATAGCATTTGTGCAGCACATTCAGAATAAGAAATATGTGTTGTGTTCATCAGGGCATTAGATATTGATCTGGGGATGGTGACGGTTGTGGATCCAAGGTCAACAATTGATAAGTTGACAAGGAAGAAATACATTGGGGTCTGAAGGTGGGTAGTTCTAGCTACCAAAATGATGATGAGGAAGTTTCCAATGAGAATTGCCATGTACATTGCTGTGAAGACTGCAAGGTGTAAGATCTGGAGTTCCCTTTGCTCTGAAAATCCCATTAGCAGGAAATCTCTTATGATGGTTACATTAGACATGTCTTCTCAGTCTGTTGGGGGAATAACAGAGACCATTATAAATGTTGCTTGTGCAAGAATATGGTTCCATCCAGTATCTAGCAATGGCCAACTCAATACCCACTGGAAGTCTCAGCTTCTCTAAATCCAGGACTGTCGCTGGAAAATATGGGCACATGGAGGGTCTAGAGACATATTCTAACTTAGTGATATTTTTAGAGACAACTGTAAGGTAGAGGTTGCAGCATGCTCACCATTTGTGTAAAAAATAAATAAAAATCCCTAAACTGAACAGCACAGCTAAATAACAAACAGTTTGTTTTTTTTTTTTTTATAAAATTTTTATTGGTTTTAGAAACTTTTTAAACAAAAAACAAACAAACACCAAAAATGACAAACATACACGTATAGTTTCAAACATATTTTCATAAACTTCTTTCCTTTGACTTCCCCATACCCCCCCTCTCTGCATCCCAATGTCCAAAGTTCAGCTAGCAACTCCCAATTGTTATTTTCCAATCTCTGTCTTCTTAGTCCTTTTTTACATTTCTAACCTTATATCCCTGTATCCCTTTGTTTCTGGAAACCACAACATTTTAGCATTCATTAAGTTTATAGTAGTCCTTAAGATAACTTTTAAATTTTCTCCATTCTTCTTCCACCGTCTCTTTTCGTTGGTCACGGATTCTGCCTGTCATCTCGGCCAATGTCATATAGTCCATCACTTTCATCTGCCATTCTTCCAAAGTGGGTAGATCTTGGGTCTTCCAATACTTTGCGATGAGTATTCTTGCTGCTGTTGTAGCATACATAAAGAAAGTTCTATCCCTCTTTGTCACCAATTGGCCGACAATGCCCAAGAGAAAGGCCTCTGGTTTTTTCGAGAAGGTACATTTGAGTACCTTTTTGATTTCATTATAGATCATTTCCCAGAAGGCCTTAATCTTCGGGCATGTCCACCAAAGGTGGTAGAAGGTACCTTCAGTCTCTTTACACTTCCAACATTTGTTATCGGGCAGATGATAAATTTTTGCCAGCTTGACTGGGGTCATGTACCACCTGTAAATCATTTTCATTATGTTTTCTCTTAAGGCATTACATGCCGTAAACTTAACACCGGTGGTCCATAACTGTTCCCAGTCAGCAAACATAATGTCATGACCAATGTCTTGTGCCCATTTAATCATGGCTGATTTCACCGTTTCATCCTGTGTATTCCATTTCAGCAGCAAGTTATACATTCTTGATAAATTCTTAATGTTGGGTTCTAACAGTTCAATCTCTAGTTTTGATTTGTCCACTTGGAAGCCAATTTTCCTGTCCTGTTTGAAAAGCTCCATTACTTGGTAGTATTGAAGCCAGTTTTGTACTTTATCCTTCAATTTGTCATAGCTTTGTAATTTCCACTTATCTCCATCCTGTTCCAAAATTTCCCAATACTTCGGCCATCCGACCTCCATATTGAGTTTCTTTACTGCTTTAGCCTCGACTGGTGACACCCATCTAGGGGTTTTGTTTTCCAACAGATCTTTATATCTCATCCATACATTAAACAGTGCTTTTCTAATAATGTGATTTTTAAAGGCACTATGCTGCTTAATTTTATCATACCATAGATATGCATGCCAACCAAAGACATTATTAAAGCCTTCCAGATCCAAGATGTCTGTGTTCTCGAGGAGCATCCATTCCTTCAGCCAGCAAAAAGCTGCTGCCTCATAATACAATTTTAAGTCCGGCAGGGCAAACCCCCCTCTTTCTTTAGCATCTGTCAATATTTTAAATTTAATTCTGGGCTTTTTGCCCTGCCAGACAAATTTCGAAATATCTTTCTGCCACCTCTTAAAACATTCCATCTTGTCAAGAATCTGCAAGGTCTGAAATAAAAATAACATTCTAGGCAATACATTCATTTTGATCACTGCAATTCGGCCTAACATTGACAATTTCAAATTTGACCATATTTCTAGATCTCTTTTGATTTCTGACCAACATTTTTCATAGTTGTCCTTGTACAAATTCAAATTTTTAGATGTTAAGTATACCCCTAGGTATTTCACCTTCTTAACCACTGTCAAACCTGTCTCCTCTTGAAATTTCTCCTTTTCAATATCTGTTAAATTTTTCCCTAAAACTTTTGTTTTTTGCTTATTCAACTTAAATCCAGCTACCTGGCCAAACTGTTGTATTATTTCTAAAGCCTTTTTCGTGCTAGTGTTTGGCTCTTGCAAAGTCAATACTAAGTCATCTGCAAACGCTCTCAACTTATAATGTTTAGCTCCGACCTGCACCCCTTTGATCTGCTGGTCATTTCTTATCATATTCAGCAACACCTCCAGAACTGAGATAAAAAGTAATGGGGAAATCGGGCACCCCTGTCGTGTTCCTTTTTCTATCTTAAGTTCCTCAGTCACAACATTATTTACAATCAGTTTGGCTTTTTGTTCGGAATATATTGCAGCCATACCATTCTCAAAACCCTGGCCTACCCCCATCCCATGAAGATTCTTCCTCATAAAGCTCCAAGAAATATTGTCAAAGGCTTTCTCCGCATCCACAAAGATCAGTACTGCTTTAGTGTTTATGTTCACCTCTAGCTTTTCCAGAATATCTATTACATTCCTTACATTGTCTGCCAGGTGTCTTTTAGGGAGAAAGCCTGCTTGGTCCCTATGAATCTTCTCCATCAACACTCTTTTAAATCTTTTTGCCAAAATGTCTGCAAAAATTTTGTAATCCACATTAAGCAATGATATTGGGCGGTAGTTCTTGAGTTGGGTCTTTTCAGTCTCTGATTTTGGTATGAGTGAAATATATGCTTCTTTCCACGATTCAGGTGCCTTTTTTCCCTCAAGGATCTCGTTACAAACTTCTCTTAGTGGTTGAATCAACCATTCCTTCAACGATTTGTAGTATTCGGAAGTCAGTCCATCTGGTCCTGGAGATTTGCCCAATTGCATATTCTGAATGGCAGCCTCTATCTCTTGTTCTGAGATTCTCTGGCTCAAATCCATCTTACTTTGGTGAGAGATATTTTGTAATCCATATTTTCCAAGGAATTTATCTATGTCTTCTTCATTTTGCGGGCCTTGAGTGTAAAGTTTTTTGAAGTAACTTAGAAAGCAGTTTCTGATTTCATTGGGTTTAGATATATTTTTCCCATCCACCTCTAGGCTTGTAACTGTATTTAATTTCTGCCTTTTCTTCAGTTGCCATGCCAAGAGTTTGCCACATTTATTTGCTGATTCAAAAGTCTTTTGCTTCATTTGCTTTATCTTCCATTCAATCTCTTGGTTCATCAATTCCATATATTGTGTTTGATACAACTTAATCTCTCTTAGGATGTCCTGAGACTTTGGTTTTGTTCTTAATTTTCTCTCTCCTTCCTTTATCATTTCCAAAATCTTTTCTTTTTTCTCATTCTGTTTTTTCCTCTTTATTGAATTTTGTTGTATCAAAAATCCTCTCATTACCGCCTTACTTGTGTCCCAGATCACTCTTTTCTCCACGTCGGTCCTCAGATTTATTTCAAAGTAGTCTTTTAAAGTCTTTTGGGCCTTCGTGAGAATCTCCTTATCTCGAAAGAGGGTGTCATTCATTCTCCATCTAAATTGACCAGTTGTTGTAATTTTCATCTCCATCTTTAGGGCGTTATGGTCGGAGCAAGTTTTTGGACAGATTTCCACTTTCTTAATCCTTGGAGCCATTCCACTAGTAATCCAAATTTGATCGATTCTTTTCCAGGTCATCATTGCTTGGGAGAAGAAAGTTCCCTCTCTCTCCAGAGGGTTCCTTGTTCTCCATATATCTATCAAGTCCATATTTTCTGTTGCAGCATGCTCACCATTTGTGTAAAAAATAAATAAAAATCCCTAAACTGAACAGCACAGCTAAATAACAAACAGTTTGACCCCCAATTTTCACATACAGCCTCTTCCTGAAATCTCCACTTTCTGTAGAGCAGTTTGAAAAACCTCACCACATCTACTCAGAATTAAGACAATAGGGCTTATTCCCTGCTAAGTGGGGTTATTTCCTGAAAGCTAGGAATGATTTGCTTTATATTCAGAAGCAGTATAGATCTGACTGTCAGAGTGAAACAAGAGGGAATATCCATGCCTTTCATAGTGTCTGTGTGCATTTCTCATCTGCATCAAGCTTGTTTGGGGCAGAGGAGAGACACTATGCTGAGCTGAAGGCATCACTGCTCTGACCCACCATCATTGTTCATATGCACCTGCAGTCTATCTCTCTTTCCTACTATCTGTCTCTGATTTAATGCATATATATATCTATATTCTATTAAACACTGATTCAATCTAATATGTCATTGAATCAGGGAAATCTATGGAAGGCTGCATATCAGCATTTGTTTAAATTCATGTGGGAAATATTCAACTAAGGATTACTCAAAGCAGACTCACTGAAATTAATTCACCTAATTTAGTCACCCCACGCATTTCAACAGGTCTAATCTGAGGAGGACTAATTTAGGCTTGTCATATTTCCAGAGGTAAAAATCAGGACATCCCATAGCCCCTCTGCCATGCCAGAACCAGAGCCAGAGCCCAGATTGCCTGCACCAGAGTCCCTGCCTGAACCAGAGCTGCCCAAGCACACACAACGCCCCCCCCCCAAAAAAATCTGGGACATTTGCTTTAAAATGTAAAATTACCTTGGGGGGCATGTAGGACCCCCAAAAGAGAACATGTCCAGGAATTCCCAGACATATGGTCAGCCTAACAAACATTGAATAATACCCATTGTTTCTGCTTCACTCGGGTGCAGTTTGGGATGAAAGAGACTATAGCCAGGATCCAACTACAGTTATACAATAAGCAAAGGTAGCCATAGTTAACCATGAGAAAAATCCATACTAGGGTAGTAGTAGTAGTAGTAGTAGTAATAATAATAATAATAATAATAATAATAATAATAATAATTTATTTATACCCCACCCATCTGACTGGGTGTCCCCAGCCACTCCGGGTGGCTTCGAGCAAAATATTAAAATACAATGGTCTGTTAAACATTAAAAGCTTCCCTAAACAGGGCTGCCTTCAGATGTCTTCTAAAAGTCAGATGTTTATTTCTTTGACATCTGATGGGAGGGTGTTCCACAGGGCGGGCACCACTACCGAGAAGGCCGTCTGCTTGGTTAATAATAATAATAATAATAATAATAATAATAATAATAATATTTTATTTATACCCCACCCTCCCCAGCCAAGACTGGGCTCAGGGCAGCTAACACTGAGTAAAATACAGTAAAAACATTAAAAAACAAAACAAAAAAAAGTTGATTAAAATATAAGTTAGAATATAGTTTTAAATGCAGCTTAAAATGCAGCCTCATTTTAGTGGTAGCCTATAGATCACTGTCATAAGAGGAGAAAAAATCAACTATTCACCGGGGCCAAACTATCCATGCTGGTCCTACATGGGCCAGCAAAAAGAGCGAGGGAAAATTTATATAAAAATCCCATATAAGGGGTTCCATCAAAAATAAATAAATGAGGAGGGGGGGTTAGACTGAATTCAGCTCAAAGGCCAGGCGGAACAGCTCCGTCTTGCAGGCCCTGCAGAAAGATGTCAAATCCTGCAGGGCCCTGATCTCCTGCAGTAGCGCGTTCCACCAGGCTGGGGCCAGAGCTGAAAAGGCCCTAGCGCTGGTTGAGGCCAATTTAACCTCCTTGGGGCTGAGGACTACCAAAGTGTTGTTATTTATGGACCTTAAGGTCCTCTGCAGGGCATACCAGGAGAGGCGGTCCCATAGGTACAAGGGTCCTATGTTTCCTGTAACTTTGCTTCTCGCAGTGAGGGAACCACCAGGGTAATACCTTTCTCAACCTGTGGTAAAGCCTTTCTCAACCTAAGGGGCCCCAGATGTTGTTAAACTACAACTCCCATCACCCCTGGCTAGCAAGGCCAGAGCTCAGGGATGATGGGAGTTGTAGTCCAACAACATCTGGGGACCCACAGGTTGAGAACCACTGCCTTAGATGAACCAAAATTTCACAAAATAATTGCACTCAAGTTTCACTGTAATCAACAGTCCTGTTTAACTGTGTTTTAAACCTTGTGATTTCAATAGACGTAAATGACTGGTTCTTGCTGTATCAGAACTCTCGCCTATAGTCAATTGGCAAATATCGCACCATGGAGAGCTGGACAGAAATAGCTCAGGATGCCTAAGAAAGGAAAACATGCTTAGCAGAAGTATGTATTGCTATCCATTACTATCCCCACAATATTTACACAATACATGAGGCCATGCTGAGGCATGAAAGGAAATTGTATGGTAAATGTCACATGGAGCATGATGTCTGCTTGGCTGCAGTTTGCAAACCCCACAAATAACATGCCGTCTGAGAACAGGCACTCAGAAAGGAGTGAAAATACAATGTCAGCTAAATGCACTTATGTCAGAAGAAGATCAAAGTGCATGACAGGGGATCACTAAGGGATTAGATTCACACAATACACTGATGTATAGAGTGGATCTGGATTGATTAGAAGTGAAGGAGGTTTGCGGGGGATCAGAAATAGACATGTACAGAAATGCAAAAGTAAAATTAAATACTGAGGCAAAGGAAACCACAAAGAAAGAAAGAGGTTTGATAACAGTTTTAAATCTGTCTTTCCCTACAAATATTTTCCAGCTGGATGCTGGAAATTCTCCCTGAATCTTAACTTGCCATATAACATGATATTTATCACTTTTTCCATCCATCCACTCCTTCAATCATCCTTTCATCTACCATTCATTATTCAGGGCAGCAAACAGAATGTCCATATTTACTTCATGTACTTACATTAAATTCCTATTTCTTTGACGTTTGAAGGAAGCAACCTGTCGTTGTGCAAGCATAAGCTGTGTGCCTTGCTAGGTACAAGCAGAACTAGTAGTGCTAAGGAGTGTGAGCAAAGGGATAAGAAGTGTAAGAATAGTTCCTAGGGATTAACTACCTGAAGGTTCTGTGCAACTCTGCAGCAAAGCCCTAGAGACAAAACAGTGTCACTGTTACATGCACTCATTTGAAGCATTTTTCATCATACAAGGCCCTTATTCTTGCATTGTGCTGAAGGAGCAGAACCACTGTATAACGGTGCCCCTAGCTCCCAGCTCCCCTAGATGGTCCAGAAGGATGTTATGATTAATGGTATCAAAGGCTGCTGAGAGAGACATGCAGAATTAGGAAACAGCAACAACCAGTGCGACCAAGGCAGTTTCAGTCCACTGATGAGGCCTGAATCCCGACTGGAAGGGATCCAAATGGTCTGCATCCTCCAGGCATGCCTGGAGTTGTTCAGCAACCACCTGCTTAAACACCTTGCCCAAGAATGGAAGATATGAGACTGGGCGATAGTTGGCCATATTGGCCAGGTCCAAAGATGTTTTTTAAAGAAATGGTTTAATGACCGCCTCTTTCAGCGGGTCTGGGAAGTCTCCCTCACAGAGGAGAGGCAAGCATTCCCCACCCCATGGAGCCTATCACCCAGCCCTTCCTGGCTCGCTTTTAAGAGCCAGGATGGGCAAGGATCAAGGAGACAGGTGGTCGGCTTCACTCATCCAAGCAGCCTGTCCACATTCCTGGAGGCAACAGATTGGAATTGATCCCATGCAACTTGAGTAGACAAAACTCTAGGACTCTTCTGCCCTGGCCCTGTTCCCATGGTGGGGTGTACCTCTTTCCAAATCTAAGTGACTTTATTTGCAAAAATCATTGCAAAATCATTGCAGGAGATCTTGGGGTCCTTACCAGGCCCTGGTGGCAAAGATGGTTGTGAACCTCCTGAAAGAGTCTCCTGCTGCTGTTTTCTGCAGATACAATAGAGGCAGTGAAGAAGATCCTCTTCGCCTTTGCTATCGCCACTTGGTAGGCTTAACGTTGAGCTCTAACCTGTGTCCGGTCAGATTCAGAATGAGTTTTCTGCCACTGGCGCTCTAGCCGTCTCAGCAATTGTTTCATTGCCCTCAGCTCTGGGGAAAACCATAGAGCTGTCTGGGCTCCATGCAATCAGAGAGGGCGCTTCAGAGCCAGACAGTCGGTAGCCCTGGTTAACTCCACATTCCAGCGGGCCACCAGGGAATCAGCTGAAAGGCTATTAACATGGGATAAAACATCTCCTACCACTCTCTGGAAAGCATTTGGATCCATTAAGTGGCAGAGGCAGACCATCTGAATCGGGCCCACCTCCCTGCAGAGGGGAAGGGTCATGGAGAAGTCCAGGTGCACCAGGAAGTGATCCAACCATGACACTTCTTTTGTTTTGCTTTTATTTAGTGTCAGATCACCCACATCCATAGAGGTGAACACCAGGTCTAAGGCATGTCTGTGACTGAGTTGGGCCAAACATATCCAGGGACAGCCCCTTGGAGGCCATGCTTTCCACGTAGTCCCGAGGTACCCCTTGTAAGGTCATGTTGGCATGGATGTTGAAATCCCCTAGGACAACCAAACTAGGTGTCTCCAGGAGAACATCCGCCACAACCTGAAGCAGCTTGGGCAAGGAATCCTTGGTGCAGTGGGGAGGTTGGTACACCAAAAGGAATCCTGTACTGCCCCTATTGCCCAACTTCCAGAACACGCACTCAGAAAACTGGGTCTTCCCAATAGGATGCCTGGTGCAAACTAATGACTTCCTAAAAATCACAGCAACCCCACCCCCACCCCGTCCATATGATCTGGGTTTCTGTGTGTAATAGAAACTTGGTTGACAAGCAGTGGCAAGAACAGGCCTATCTGCTTCATTCAACCAAGTCTCTGTTACACATGCCAGGTCAAGTCCTCCATCCCCAATCAAGTCATTAATTCTGGTATCTTTCCAGTCAAGCCCAGACCTGGAGGCAGGGATAGTCTTCAAACAATGACTAAACCCGCCTCCTCGGTAATGACATGGTCTGGTCTTAGCATAGCTCCTCCTCCTAACCATGATCACTGAGATCGGGTGTCCCAGTGCATCCCCCCGTGGAACCTGCCCCAGCCATTCTGTTGGCTGGGGCCCACTCCCAGGCAGCCCTGACCCTCTCCCCTTAAAAGCAAAACACGAACTATACAGAAGAAGAAGAAGAAGAAGAAGAAGAAGAAGAAGAAGAAGAAGAAGAAGAAGAAGAAGAAGAAGAAACTAATAATAAGAAAAACAATTTACAATTACATTAAAACTAAACCTATTCCCAGTCCCACCCAAATGTCCATCCCACCCCCCAACAAAGAAAAACACACACACAAAAACCCCATAATTTAAAATGCCACAGATAAAAATAAATTTAAAGGAGGAGCCCTCTCTGCTGAGCTACAGTCCTCTACAGCAGCTACAGTCCTTGTGAAGCCCATCCTTTTTTTGTTATTGTTATTGTTACTGTTGTTGATAATGATGATGTCACCATAAATTTGTTCTTCTGTGAACTTTCTGAAAACAATTTGAAAACTATATAACTAGGTAGAGCAACAAGGATACCTACCCCAGGGGCAGCATAGACTCAAAGGTTATGTATTATATTTCCATTTTTTTAAATAATATTGAAATTCACACACACACACAAAAATCAGAAAACAATAACAAGTGGCTTTTGCATGAAAGTGTTGTCCCAGAAACAAATGCTTGTCCAATATGGAAATATTGCTTTCCACTTTAAGTGATTAAGGGGGGGGGAACTACACTGAAGCAGAGTTAGGGTTGTGTTCAGTTCAGTTTTATTTGGAGTAACGCATTAAAATCAATTACCCCAATTTATGTTTATTACTTTTAAGGTGTCACTTCTAAGTAGGACTTACTGTGCATACAACACAAACATTTTACATTCCCCGTGATATTAATAATAACTCACAATTTGAATTCGATATATTATGCAATGCTAAAATGCAATACAGTGAAAATAAAGTGGGAAATGATATAAGTTTTATGTTAAATTATTCCATAATTTAACACGAGTAAGCAGCAGGGTTATCAGTGAAAAGGAAGCATGGTGTTCTTGCTTGAAATCTTCCAGCAAAACAGCTTCCCCAGGGCAGCTTTGACATCCTTATTCCTCATGCTGTAGATTACTGGGTTCATCATTGGAGGAACCACAGAATATATCACAGCAAGCATCTGGTCCAGCTTGTATGACGAGATGGAGGCTGGCATGAGATAAGTAAAAAGAATGGTGCCAACTAAGACAGAGAGAACAATGAGGTGGGGAATGCAAGTGGAGAAGGCTTTTTGCCTGTTTGCCATGGACTGCATGCTCAACACTGTGCTGAAGATCTGCACATAGGTCAAGACGATGAACACAAAGCAGCCAATACCTAATGCGCAACTGAAGAGCAGTGTCCAAATTTCGTTGAGGTATGAATCAGCGCATGAGATCTTCATTAGGTGTGGGATTTCACAAAAGAACTGATTGATAACGTTGGAACAGAAGGGCAGTGAAAAAATAGTGCCAGTATGCACAGCAGCATTAAGCAAACCTGCCATCCACGATCCGCCTGCCAGTTGGATGCATCTTCCCCACTTCATCACAGACGCATAATGCAGTGGGTGGCAGATGGCCACATATCGGTCATAGGCCATCACCGTAAGGAGGAACACATCCGATGACAGGAAAAAAACAAAGGAAAGCATTTGTGTCACGCATTCAGAATATGAAATCAGTGTTGAGTTCATGAGCGCATTGGCCATTGATTTGGGAATAATGACAGAGGTGGAGCCAAGTTCTCCTATTGATAAATTGACAAGGAAGAAATACATTGGGGTCTGAAGGTTGGTGTTGAGGGCTACTAGAATTATGAGAATCAGATTTCCTGTAAGTATAACCAGATACATTGCTGAGAAGATTGCAAACTGTAAAAGTTGAAACTCTCGTTGGTTAGAAAAACCCAGAAGCAGGAAATCATTGATTATTGTTATATTAGACATTACTTCTCCCTCACGCTCAAGAGGTACAGTAGCACAGATTACCAGTCATCAGAAGCCAGGAATTGAAACCTATAGAATGGGGGGGGGGGAATACCATTAATCTTCATAGATATTAACTTATATTGTCTGAACATTCAATGCAGCATTTCTTTAAAGTGTGTTCTCACTACAAAATAGCAACATCAGAATAGTCAGGTATACTCCTAAGAAGATCACAAAGTGCAAAATTTGCCATTCTTGGTCCCTCAAAATTTCCAGTAGTAGAAAATTGTTAATGTTCATTCTAAAGTCTTATTTTTTCATTAATGTTAGAATTATATTTACTGCCATGTATGATATTTTTTATTACTTTATTGTTAAATGAATGATATCACAATTTCAGTTTTCCCAGTGTAGCTTTTTACTGGATCCAAACACATTTTGCGTCAACAGAAAGGCACTTCCACTAATAAGTCCCCAACCACCTGCAACCAACTTGAGTCTCTTCACATTGCATTTCTAAGGGTCCTTCAGTACAGAGAGTTCAGTGGTTTGCAGTGAGGAAAGCAACCTAGGAAAGTCCTACTGTACAGGCACAGATCTCCTCACACTTCCCTGGTTTCAGACTTTAGTCTTTAAAACAATATTCAGACATTAGGTTGATAGAATGCCTGTTGTGTTTTGGTGCTCAGAAAATAGCCTGTAGCTAAACTGGTTTCGCTATGAACACTACCTGGAAGACAGAGTGTCACTGAACCATATGTTGGCCACCCTGAGATCTTTTCAAAGGCAAAAGGTTCATAAATAAATAAAATAGCAAAGGCATGGGACCCATGTTGTGAGGAGCCCCTTCCACAAAGTGGCTTCTCAAGGGTCACAGAAAAGGAGAATGGAAGGAGTTGAAACATGTCTTCTGGAAACCTATTCATTTTATTTCTCAAGGATCCAAGTCAATACGATTCTCGTGAGTTTACTTTACCATATTGTCCTAAGCTGCAAGTGATTCCTCAAACTCCTGACTCACTAGCTATTATCTCTGTTCCCATTCTTGCCTCATCAGTCTAACATGCAATGTATCAGCTTCAGAAAGAAATAGCATAAATCCCATATTGTGTACAGGGTTTAAAAGAACAGTAGAAGAAGTTGTTCGGAGAGGGGGGTATATCTGGTGAGGGACACATCATGCTCCTTTCTGGGGTAGTTTCTCCACCTTTGGTCCCCACCATGCACTCAGCTCTCACCTGTGGCTCCTAGAAGCTGTCTCCTCACATTTCATGCCAGTATGAGAGATCCATCACAGTCTCTTCTCTGTTGGATTCACAGCTCCTTTTGCTTCACAGGTGCATGTTAGAAGAAAAGGTTATTTAAAGAAGCACTGAGAGAGGCAGATGAATGTGATAGTGGAAGTATATTCCTTGCTAAAGATTAGCTCCCTCTTTCTCTTAATAGCATGGCACTAACAGCCCACAGCCACTGCCAAAAAAACAGAAGCAAAAGACCAAAGTTTACAGTCTAAGGCTCTCTCTCATCATGAATTGCTGATACTGTCTACTTTTCTCATACTGTCTTTCTCATGCTGCACGCACAGTGAGACCCAGGCAAGGATTCCACTTCTGTTTCTTATCATACCCATATGGAATGGGGGCAGGGGAACTGCAGTGTTTAAGTAATTAAGGGAATTAATTCAACAGTGACATTGTTGCAGAGGCTGATGCAATGGCAGCTCCTAAGAATCTTTGCTAGGCATTGGGGAAATCCCTTCACCATTAGGGAAGCATTGATAGGCAAAACACCACCATTAGTAGACAGGATCCCTCAAATTGTGGATAACCATATAATTGCAGCATGCATACACTACATGTCCAGCATATGGAAGAGTCCTACTTAAAAGCAGTTCCCACCCATCCTATATATCTCCCCACGGAGGTTGACACTTCATGCAAGCTTATGCCACAATAAATTTCTGAATGTTAAAAGTGCCAAGAGGTTTTTGTGGGTGTGTGGGCAGACGAGATGCTCCTTGACCATGAAAATTATACACCATTATACCGGTGCGGGAATTGATATTAATGGAAAAGATTTACTCACAAGTTTGAAAACCAAAGAAATAGCACAAATCAGAAAAGTTTTTTAAAACATGTTTCTGCTTTATTTTCTATTCGACTTCAAAAGAACATGGCTATAGCCCACCAGTCATTAAAACATTTTGGAAGGTATTTGTATTTGAAAGAGAAATATTCATATCTGAAAAGCACTGGGACTGTTCTCAGTGGAAGGCTCTTTTTTCCCTTTCTTGTGTTTATTATGTAAATGATAGATGAACCTCTTTAAAAAGACAATGAAAAACTCACACTAACTCTGTTTTGGTTCAACTTTAGGCACTGCACATGTCTACCAATGTTCTTTATTCAGCAGAGCACTGTGATCTTTTTTTAAGCTATGGGGGCACATCTTGACCTCACACAGGTGCACTACAATCCTGTTACAGATGCAGCCAAAGGCAGCTCTGAAACCCCCCAGACAAATCCAGCCAACTAGCCATATGTCATGTCATGCTATGTCATTCCCCACCATTGTCTAAGACCCAGAATAAAATGGAGGTTCCTCACATCCCTGGCTGGTGAGCAGAGTTCAGTTTCATAGGCCACAAATTGTGTGCAGAGCAGGTATGATATATGTATGTCATGCAGCCAGATTTCTAGCACACCGGAAGATAGAAGAGTATACAGCTGGTTTAAAAACTTTATTTTGATTATATAAAGGTATTACATTGTACTCAATATATATAGCATAAACTACACCAATAAAGATAAAAAGAGGTGCACTACAATCCTGTTGCAGATACAGCCAAAGGCAGCTCTGAAACCCCCAATCAAGCAATGTTAGAGAATAGAAATATAAATCTGAAAGCAGAACACCAGTTGGGGAAAAAATCTGTTTCAACGGCACAGTCTTTTTCAATTCTGTCAAACAGGAGACTGTCCCCTCTGGGGCACCATAGCTTTGCATCTAGCTCAATACTTCATTTTGCTACAAGACTCTGTCTGGCATACTGCCCTGAATGGCAACCAACTTGTGTCCAGCCTGATGTTTTCTTTATTCACAAGAGACTGTTGTGTGTGCTGCCCCTATACTAATATTAGCTATGTGCAAAATAGTCTCCTGATTAGTGTCATTTGCATTAGTCCGAAGATTTAAAACCCCCACTTCATCCATGCAGACTATCTTTCTTCACCTCCTTCCCAGATGGCTTCAACTGTTCCTGTTTGTTTTGTTTTTTGCTTGCTTTGCTTGCAGTATGGACATTTTCAGGATAAACCTATTGACTGTCTGCCCAGACACTTACTATAGTAGGTGGTATTTGATGGAAGAAATGTGCCTTGTACGGATGTCTCAGACAGAAATTCATCATCTACATCTGTAGCAAGGGATTGGGAAACTGGCTAACCTGTAGAATTCTTGCCTGGAGATTCTCTACAAATTGTGATTGTGGCAGGGAAGCAGAGTGCCTTAAACAGATGTGTTCAGGCAAAAATTCATCATGGCTACATGAAGCATGTGACTGAGGAAGCTGCTGCACCTGTTGAATGCCTCCTCCCCCATCCCAAAAGCCAGGGCAAAGTATGGATGCATGGAACCAAGTTTGCAAGCAAGCATAATAGACAACCCTTGACAAAGTATTCCCTGCTTAAATGGTGTGAACATTAAGGTACTTTAAATTTCCATTTCCTTGATATTTTAAGCAGGGGTAGAAATGGCAAACACCTCAAATCACATGTGGCAGTGGTGGTGGTGGTTTTTAAACTATGAAACTGATTTATTGTTTGGAAGTTTCTGGTAAAACAGCTTCCGCAGGGCAGTTTTGACATCCTTATTCCTCATGCTGTAAATTAACGGGTTCATCATTGGAGGAAACACTGAGTATATCACAACAAGCACTTCATCCAGATTAAATGAAGGGCTGGAGGATGGCATGACATAGGCAAAGAGACTTGTACTAAGTAAGAGAGAGACAACAGTGAGGTGGGGAATGCAGGTAGAGAACGCTTTCTGTCTACTTGCTTTCGAGGACATTCTCAGCACTGCAGTAAAGATCTGAACATAGGATGTAACAATGAGCACAAAGCAGCCAAGACCTAAGGCTGAACTAAAGAGAAGGGGCCACATTTCATTCAAGTACGAATTAGCACATGAGATCTTCATCAGGTGTGGGATTTCACAGAAGAACTGAGTGATGATGTTGGAGCAGAAGGGCAGTGAAAAAATGGTACCTGTGTGCAAAGCAGCATTAAGGAAGCCTGCTGCCCATGCCCCACCTGCCAGCTGAATACACCTTCCCCACTTCATCACAGAGGTATAGTGCAGTGGGTGGCAGATGGCCACATACCGGTCATAGGCCATGACAGCGAGGAGGAAAATGTCTGATGACATGAAGACGACAAACAAAAGCATTTGTGCAGCACATTCAGAATAAGAAATACGTGTTGTGTTCATCAGGGCATTAGCTATTGATCTGGGAATGGTGACGGTTGTGGATCCAAGGTCAACAACTGATAAGTTGACAAGGAAGAAATACATTGGGGTCTGAAGGTGGGTAGTTCTAGCTACCAGAATGATGATGAGGAAGTTTCCAATGAGAATTGCCATGTACATTGCTGTGAAGACTGCAAGGTGTAAGATCTGGAGTTCCCTTTGCTCTGAAAATCCCAGAAGCAGGAAATCTCTTATGATGGTTACATTAGACATGTCTTTGCAATCTGTTGGGGGAATAAGAGAGGCTATTATAAAAAATTTTACTATTGCAAGAAAATGTTTCCATCCAATACTTAAAAGAACAGGCTTGTTGGAGCAGAACAAAGCCATATCTAGCAATGACCAACCCAATACCTATTGGAAGTCCACATGCAGGTCACAAGCACAATACCATTGTACCACTCATGTTCTTCAGCAACTGGTATTCAGAAACACATATGTTCCATCATTTCTCTGATGAAAATAGTGACATCCTATTTAATAATAGTAATAATATTTATACTACGCCCATCTGACTGGGTTGCCCCATCCACATTTTTTTAAAACTTCCCTATACAGGGCTTCCTTCAGATGTCTTCTAAAGGTTGTATAGTTCCTTATCTCCTTGATTGGTGGTCTCATAACTCCAAGCCCTCCAACATTTCTCCAATAAAAATAGGGACGTCTTAAGGGAAATTGGGACATTCCAGGACCAAATCAGAAACTGGGACAGCTTCTGTAAATCCAGGACTGTCCCTGGAAAATAGGGACACTTGGAAGGTCTGGAGACATATTCCAACTTAATGATATTTTTAGGGACAACTGTAACGTAGAGAGTGCAGCATGCTGACCGTTTGTGTAAAATAAAAATAAAAATCCCTACACTTAACATCACAGCTACATAACAAAAAGTTTGACCCTCAATTTTCACACATCCCTTCCTTCTGAAATCTCCACTTTGTGTAGAGCAGCCTGAAAACCCTTACCACATCTACTCAGAAGTATGTCAATAGGGCTTATTCCCTGGTAAATTGCTCCATTAATCCCTCAAATGAGTATTTTCCTGAAAGCTAGGAATGATTTGCTTTATATTCAGAAGCAGTATAGATCTGACTGCCAGAATGAAACAAGAGGGAATAGCCATGCCTTTCATAGTGTCTGTGTGCATTTCTCATCTGCATCGAGCTTGTTTGGGGCAGAGGAGAGACACTATGCTGAGCTGCAGGCATCACTGCTCTGACCCACCATCACTGTTCATATGCACCCACTCTCTGTCTCTCTTTCCAACTACCTGCCTCTTATCTTAAGGATGATATATCTATATTTTCTATTAAACCCTGGTTCTATCTAATATGTTGTTAAATCAATGAGATCAATGACAGGCTGCATATCAACATTAGTTGGACTCCACATGGGATATATTCTACTAAGGTTTACTCAAAGCAGACTCACTGAACTCAATTCACCTAATTTAGTCATCCCACTCATTTCAACAGGCCATCTTAGAGCAGGACTAATTTAGGCTTGCCATATTTCCAGAGGTAAAAATCCGCCGCCAAAGCCAGGGTCACCCACACCAGAGCCAAAGCCCGGATTGCCTGCGCCAGAGCCCCAGCTGGAACCATAGCTGCCTAAGCACAAAAAAACCCAAATCCCATACATTTTAAAGTGTAAGATTACCCCGGATGGGCATGTAAGACACCATAGCCAGGATCCAACTAAGGTTATACAGTAAGCAAAGGTACCCTTAGTGACCCATGAGAAAAATCCATATTAGGGCAATAACTAAGATGAACGAAAATTTCACAAAATACTTGCATTCAAGTCTCACTGTAACCACAGTCCCATTTAGCTGTGACTGTTTTAAGCCTTGTGATTTCAATAGATTTAAATGACTGGTTTCTGCTGGATCAGAAATCTCACCAATAGTCGTTTGGCAAATATTGCACCATGGAGAGCTGGACAGAAATAGCTTAGGATGCCTAAGAAAGGAAAACGTGCTTAGCAGAAGTACGTCTTGCTAACCATTAATATCCCCACAATAGTTACACAATACATGAGGCCATGCTGAGGCATGAAAGGAAATTGCATGGTAGATGTCACATGGAGCATGCTGTCTCCTTGGTTGTAGTTTGCAAACCCCACAAATAACATGCCTTCTGAGAACAGGCACTCACTAAGGGAAAAAGAGTAAAAATACAATGTCGGCTTAGTGCACTTAGGTCAGAAGAAGATCAAAGTGCATGATGGGGGGATAACAAAGGGATTAGATCCACACCGTACCTTTTTGTATAGTGTGGATCTAGTTTGATTTAGAAGTGAGGGAGTTTCTTTTGAGGTGGGGGAATCAGAGACAGACGCATAGAGAAATACAAAAATAAAATAAAATACTGAGGCAAAGGAAACCAGAGAATGAGGGGGGGAGGGGAGAGGGGGGAGGAGGAGGGAGGGAGGGAGGGAGGGAGGAGGGAGAGAGAGAGAGAGAGAGAGAGAGAGAGAGAGAGAGATTTGATAAGTTTAAAATGTTTTTCCTTACAAATATTTTCCAGCTGGATGCTGAAAATTCTCCCCTGAATCTTAACTTGCCATATAACATTATATTTATCACTTTTTCCATCCACCCACTCCTTCAATTTTCCTTTCATCTACCATTCATCATTCAGGGCAGCAAACAGAATGTCCATATTTACTTCATGTACTTACATTTAGCTTCCTGTTTCTTTGAGGTTTGAAGGAAGCAACCTGTCGTTCTTCAAGCATAAGCTGTGTGCCCTGCTGGGTACAAGCAGAACTAGAAGTGCTAAGGGGATGTGAGCAAGGGGATATAAAGTGTAAGAATGGTTCCTAGGGATTAATCAACTGAAAGTTCTGTGCATCTCTGCAGCAAAGCCCCAGAGACAAAACAGTGTCACTCTTACATGCACTCCTTTGAAGCATTTTTCATCATACAAGGCCCTTATTCTTGCAGAGTGCTGAAGGAGCAGAACCACTGTATAACGGTGCCCCCAGCTCCCAGCTCCCAGCTCCCCTAGATGGTCCAGAAGGATGTTATGATTAATGGTATCAAAGGCTGCTGAGAGAGACATGCAGAATTAGGAAACAGCTTTCGCCTTTGTCCCTAGGCTGCCAGAGATTATCAACCAGTGCGACCAAGGCAGTTTCAGTCCACTGATGCCCCTTTCAAAGCATTTTTTATCATACATGGTTCTTTTTTTTTAAAAAAAGAATCATTTATGATTTTCAGGTTTATACATTTCAATAATTTTACAATCATTTTAACATTTCATTTTTTATTTTTATATTAATATTTATTGAATGTTATAACAAATAATGATACAAATCTCATTCATCATGTTATATACAATTATTCTCCCTCCCCTCCTCTGGGCTTCCCTCAACTCCCCCTCTGCTGAGTTATTTAATTTTATTTATTGTATTCTGCTTTTCCTGCACAAAAATAAAATCCCTTATCATTTCTCTAAAATATCTGTTACTCAAATGAAATTGTGAACCTTTATTCAAATCCTGCCAGTGAATCTAGTCCATTCTGTTGTTTCTGCAAATAAACTGTGAGTGGTTCCCAGAGTTTTTGGAAGTCCTTTTTGTCTTTCTCTCGTAATTTGTGTCGTTAGTTTAGCCAATTCTGCATAGTTCATCAGTTTTTCTTGCCATTGTTCCTTTGATGGTATTTCTTCCATCTTCCTATATTGTGCAATCAAGATTCTTGCCACTGTTGTAGCATACATAAATAATGTCCATTTTTCTTTTGGTAGCTCTTGATTTGAGATACCTAACAAAAAGGCGTCTGGATGTTTAACAAAATTCATTAACATTTCAAAACTTGACTTCCTTCCCCCCCTTTCTGCAGTTCCTTAATTTTTAAAAAATATATTCTGCATATCCATATTAACTTAATTTGTTCATTTATTCATCTGCTACAAATATTTACTCTTATGAAACTCTAGGTTATTACAATAATCCTGCCAATGTTCTTATCTGTTTACAATTTTTCTGTAAATATTCAATAAACCATTTCCATTCTTTTATAAAAGAATTGATTTCTTATTTTTCTGGTAAGTTTCACTATTTCTGCATATTCCATAAATTTTTGTATCCATTGTTCCTTCGCTGGGACTTCTACCTCTTTCCATTTTTCGGCAAGTAAAATTATTGCCGCTGTAGTAGCATACATGAATCAGTTTCCGTACAGTTTGGGTTGTTCTGTCCCTATACTTTTCATAAGGAAACTTCTGGTTTTTGCACAAACATTATTTTAAACATCCTTTTCAATTCATTATATATCATTTCCTAGTAAGCTTTAACCGTACTATAAGACATATGATAAAAAGAACCTTCTTTCTTTTTACATTTCCAACACTTATTTGATTTAGATTTATTCGTTTTTGCCAATTTACTCAGTGTTAAATACAATTGATATATCATTTTCTTATAATTTTCTCTTAGACCATAACATGCTGTAAATTTTATATCCATTTTCCACAATTGGTCCCATGCTTCCATGTCTGTATTATGACCAATGTCTATTGCCCAATGTATCATTGAGGATTTTACTTGCTCATCGTTTGTCTCCCATTCCAATAATATTTTATACATTTTAGACAGCACTTTTACATTACAGTACACTGCAACAGGTCTCTCTCTGTTGTGATATTTGTTCCCCAAACCCTCATATCCTTAAATATTTCATTCAAATAATGATACTGTATCCATGTTGTTAATTTTTCTGATAATTCCATAAAATCTTTTAAATTATTCTCTCCTCCCTCTTGTTTTAATAAATTTCTATAAGTTGTCCCCCTTCTATCATATTCTTTTGCTTTACCACTATACAGTGAGGGGGGAAAGTATTTGATCCCCTACTAAATTTGCCCTTTTGCGCTCTGATGAAAAAATGACCAGTCCATAATTTTAATGGTAGGTTTATAGTAGCTGTGAGAGACAGAATAACAACAGGAAAACTCCCAGAAACCCAGAATTGTCCAACACTCATTGCACTCATTTAAGTTGCAACCAACGAGACCCACATATCCAAAATACCAACATGCTTAAAGTGATTGATTATTTAAATGTGCAGGAAAAAATCCCAGCAAACAAAGCCACAACAAAGCTGGCAACAGAAATTTTATTTTATTCCGAAAATACAGCAGATATATTATATAAAAAATAAATAGCAATGAATCCTATATTACAAATGCATTTTAGAGTTGAACCATCTAGC